TTAATGGAATCGCTTTCTTTTTAGCAATTCACTCAGGGACTGTATTAATACCTGGGGGCGCACACAACTGTGCATATCTCTCTATCAGTGTTATAGAGGGCGAACAATTTAAGAGTTTGCCCTGCATAAGCTTTATGCAGGGTAAAACGGATTTATCTGGGTTTAGACCCCATTGGGAGTTGGGCATCTGAGTGCTAAAGTCAAGCATGCTACTGTGAGCTGTTTTCAGGTAAACTTGCAGCTTTGGGACAAGTGATTCAGACCCTGGATCTGTGCCTGGAGCCAGACTGGAGTGTCGGGCTCAGCAAGACAGGGTGCTGGAGTCCTGAGCTGGCAGGGAAAACAGAAGCAGGGGTAGTCTTTGCACATCGGGTGGCAGCTCCCAAGGGGGTTTCTGTGATTCAGCCCGTCACAGGTACCAATGTGAGATTTCTAAAGATAGCTACAGTACCCGACCCAAGATTTTAGAATCTGAAGTGCCTGCCAAAATCTGATCGGGACAGGGTGTGGAGCATGCTTTCCGAAGTCTTAAAAGAGCAACACTCCAATGCGGAAACTACAGAACTCAAACCACCAAAAAAGAAAATCACCTTCTGCTGGTGGCATCTGACTTAGATAATGAAACATGTGTCGATCCACATTGCTTTGGATCGTTATCGAGCAGAATGCGTCATCATCAGCATATACGTATGTTCCCGGAAATGTTGGTTGAAGCATCAAGGGATATATGAATCTTTAGTGTAACTGCACATAAATACCTTGCAACGCCAGCTGCAACAGTGTCATGAGAACACTTGAGAACACCTGTTCTCACTTTCAGGTGACATTGTAGAACAAGCGACAAAGAGTCCTGTGGCACCTTATAGACTAACAGACATATTGGAGCCTAAGCTTTCGTGGGTGAATACTCACTTCGTCAGATGCATGTAGTGGAAATTTCCAGAGGCAGGTATAAATTATTTATACTCCAATACATCTGATAGTCTATAAGGTGCCACAGGACTCTTTGTCGCTTTTTACAGATCCAGACTAACACGGTTATCCCTCTGATACTTGACATTGTAGAACAAGAAGCAGGCAGTATTATCTCCTGCAAATGTAAACAAACTTGTAGACAAACCTGTTTGTCTGAGCGATTAGCTGAACAAGAAGTAGGACTGAGTAGACTTGTAGGCTCTAGTTTTACATTGTTTTATTTTTGAATGCAGGTTTTTTTTTTTGACATAATTCTGCATTTGAAATTTGCACTTTCCTGACAAAGAGATTTCAGTACTTGTATGAGGTGAATTGAAAAATACTATTTCTTTTGTTTATAATGTTTAGAGTCCAAATATTTGTAATAAAAAAATATAAAGTGAGCACTGTACACTTTGTATTTTATGTTGTAATTGAAATCAATATATTTGAAAATGTAGAAAACATCCAAAAATATTTAAATAAATGGTATTCTATTAATTTTTTTAATCGTGCGATTAATCGCGATTAATGTTTTTAATTGCTTGACAGCCCTAGTATACACACATGTACCACACAGACACACACACCCTACACACGCTGTGTGAACCTACCCCACGTACCTAGTTCACTTACAGTCAGCAATGTCTGAACATTTCACCCTGATGCTAAAATATTTAAGCAACTTGAGTTGGAGTCTAACTTGGTCATGTCCAACAGAAAGCAATCTACTGCCGAGGTGAGGCTGGGTGCCACACTAGCACCGAAGCCCAGCCCAAAGATGTGCTCTGTCCCAGGTACTGCCCCCCGCTCAGGCCACAGCTCTGTTCCGCTTGGGCTGAGCAAATCATTGATTTGGGAGTTTCGTGGCTGAACAGGAAAAAAAACCTTGGGACAGTGAGAACTGGTTTCTTGACTAAATGAAAACTGGGTCGAACAAAGCATTTTAAACATTGTTTTGAATTGATATTGTTGAAACTGACTGAGTCAACATTTTCAAAATATTTCTTTTTGGGGCTGAAACGACTGGCTGAATTCAATGCAAATTCTTGAACAGGTTCAGGGCCCTGAAACATGCATTTTTCAGTGAATTTGCTATTTGCTGAACGCAGGACACCCAGCTCGTGTTCTGCTTTAGGGCAGGGGAGTGAACAAAGCCTCTGCTTCTGCTCTTCTGCAGGGGGCAGTGGTAGAGACTGATCAGATGCCAGGCCAGGTCCTGGGTTTGAGTGTCACCAAACCAAGCACTCAAAAACAAGGAGTTAGGAAATCATGAGATTGGCTGAAAACAATAATAAATGTAAACCTCCTGGTTTCCGAATCTTCCAGCTGCACTCGGACGATGATATCTGGCTTCTCTCCACAACCACATGGGCTGGGAACATACGATATTTTACAAAGCACAAGCTAAGATTCTCCAAACTCACAGGACTCCGGGAGCTGGAGCTTTAGGAAAGGCATCAGCTATCACCAGCGTTTGCAGCATGGGCTTTGTACTGTCTCCAGGCTGAGGGAAGTCTTTCTCACAATCAGGCTCTTTGCTGCGTACTAGTGTGACATGGAGATAGGCCCTGATTCTTGGCTCTGGGCCCCACAAGCCCACTGCTAGAGCACTGGCATCTTCCTTGTCTCTGCATGGCCTGCTGAGCTGCCATGCTCTGCAGAGGAAGGGAGGTCTGGGCTCACGGTGCCGGGGCTTGAGGGGCACCTCAACACATGGCAGGGAATGAGGAGGAGGGATTTCAGTGATTTGGGGAGGGGAGCGCATCCTAGCAGCTGCTGACGTGGTTTTGTCCCTTGCTCCTAGGCTGTGCCATGGGATGGCCGAAGCAAAGCAGCTCTGCCACAAGTGACATCAGAAACTGCACCACATCCCCTCCAGTAAGATCTTCCCCCGTAAGGGCAGGCCTGTCTGCACCCCCCACTAGCCAGATTCTCTCGGGCCCAGACCTTCTCCCTCCTCTCTGCCCTTCTCAGCCTCCAGCCTTCTCCCTGCTTCTCAGTGCCAGTCGAGGGATCCACATGCCCTGGCAGCATAGCCAAAGGGCAGCCAGCTGGCGCCTGAGAAGAAGGGGCTGGTGGGAGGAGCCTCAGCCGAGCCCCCCACAACACAGGGGCGCCTCCCTGCCTTTCTGAAGACTGTCTCTGTCCTGTTCTGTGCTCAGCTCTGAGCCCCAGAGCCCCGAGTGCAGGCAATCCACATCAGAGGGTCCACATGCTGCCAGGGCACTCTGTTATGGGCCCCAGGGAGCAGCCAGCCAGCCCTTGGGTGGTTTCACTGACATGCTGCGCTGCCTGGCAGCACACGGGAGCAGAGTGCTCAGTATAGCTGCACGTCCCCGCTATTCCGGCTCTCCATGCTGGCAGCGCAGGGCCCCCGCGGAAGGCCAGAAGGGCGGAGGGCTGCCCTGGGGATCGGCCCCTCATTAGTTTGTTTCTCTGTGACCTCAGTTCCTGCCCCCCACGGTGACAGACACAAGCGCACAGCTGAATGCCCTGCGCCAGCGCATGCAGTTCTACAACATCAGTGCCTACATCGTCCCAGCCACCGATGCACACATGGTAAGGCTCAGGCTGCCAGTCTCTGGGTCTCTGTCCCGCCTTAGGATCTACCCCACCCTCCATGCCCCGGGGCAGGGGCCCCAGCACTTGCTGTACCCTGATCAGGAATGGGCACCTTTGCACAGTGCCTGCCTGCCTGCGGCTCAGGCCCTCGTTGCCTGTCCCTGGGAGTGCAGCTGTTTGGCCCAGCGCTTCTGGCCCAAACTTCTGCCCCTTTCCCCTGCCTGGATCCTGTTCCCCTTGGTGCACTGCCTCTGCCCCCCAGGGCCTTGAGCCTTGCTGGGGAGAGGGGCTGTAGGACAGAGTCCCACTGGTCAGCTGGTGTCTGCCAGTGTACGGGCTGTTCAGTGCACTGGTCCCTGGGCAGCAGCGCTGTGCTGGGGTGTTGGAGGAGTGGGGGGTGGGGTGGCATGTGCTGTGCTGGGGTGGCTGTGGGGGGGGAGCGTGTGTTGTGTGGGGTGTCTCGGGGGAGCAGGTGTGTGCTGTGATGGTGTGTCCGTGGTGGGGGGCAGACGTGCGCTGTGCTGGGGTGTCTCTGCGTGGGGGGTGGGGGCAGGCGTGCGCTGTGCTGGGGTGTCTCTGCGTGGGGTGGGGGCAGCGTGCGCTGTGCTGGGGTGTCTCTGCGTGGGGCATGGGGGCAGGTGTGCACTGTCCTGAGGTGTCTCTGCAAGGGGGTGTCATGGAGTCACCGGGGTGATGCTCTGGAACTACTCCATAGGAAGCCAGCCAGGACTCTGGGGGAGCCTTCTTTTCGCCAGGGCAAGAAGCTTACACAGCTTTGACCTTCCTGGGTCTGACCTCGAAGCTTCCAGCATCCCCTTCCACACCGTGTGCTTCCTGCAGCGAGTCCACCCGAGCAGGGCTCCTGGGGAAGCCAGAGGGCCCTGCACCCCCAACTCCGCAGTCAGCAGTAACTCTCAGCCAGCGTAAAACAGAAGGTTTATTAGTCGACAGGAACACAGCGTAGGACAGAATTTGTTAGCACAGAAATCAGTGACTGACTTGCTTCCAGCTGCCTGGCCCCTGCCCTGCCCGTTGCTCCGCCTATGGCCTTTGTTTTGCTTCCTGGGCCAAGAGTCCCCGCCCTCCCCTCCCCCCCGCGTGGGTCTCAGGTTACGAAGGGCAGCCATTGCATCCGTGCAGGCAACCGGAGCAGCCCCCGCAAAAGTCACACACACCCTTATTCCCACCACCTAGACCAGGGGTGGGCAAACTTTTTGACCTGAGGGCCACATCGGGGTTGTGAAACAGTATTGAGGACCGGGTAGGGAAGGCTGTGCCTCCCCAAACAGCCTGGCCCCCACCCCCTATCCGCCCCCTCCCACTTCCTGCCCCCTGACTGCCCCCCTCAGAACCCCCAACCCATCCAACCCCCCCTGCTCCTTGTCCCATGACTG